ACCGTTTTCTGACAGTAATAGAACCAAAATCTACAGTGTTTGCTCCCGTGACCTTGAGACAGTGTATTTTCTCCGGCCGTGACCTTCGCCTTTGGTAGGTGTCTCTTACCTGTACGTGCTACTTGCTGGAATTCCGTATGGAAAAATCTGCTGTTACCATAACGAAGGTATTTGCTGACGTTGCGCGTTTCGGGTTTCTGCCACAGGGCCCCCGCAGCAGAGCAGTTGAACGAAGCCAAAATAATGTATTCTGTCTGGAATTCAAAAATAGCGTTTCTCAGACTCCGCAAGCGTGACCCAGTGAGGAGCGACTCCGTTCCCTCGGGAAGAGGAGCAAACCCGTGCTACAGCTGCTGGCTCAGCTCGGCTCTTGCTTCTCCCACCGTGCGGCCCCCACGCTGCTGCTATTTCAGGGCTACCCACCTCCCGGGCGGCTGCTGCTTCGCCGCCTGCTCCTGAAGCCGCAGCGGGGATCTCCGCGGGAAACGCGTCTCCAGAGCGCCCAAAACCTCAGCTTTTTTGGGGAGAGGCCCAGCACATTCTCCATGAGAGCTCCCCAGCTTTGCAGTTCCTTGCCCGCTTTGGTCTGAAGGCGCTCAGATGTTCACGCTGCCTAGTGGTTGTTCTTGAGGGAACAGTTCAGGAGAAGAAAAATCTGTGGGTGGGCTCCTGGTGGAGGATGTTCTTGTGAGCTCATCACAGCCGTTTTGAAGGGATTTAGCCGGTCTCTTATTGGGGATGGTTTGTGAGCATAAAGTTGGCGTGTCATGCTGCTGGCAACTGCGTCAGGTGTCTGGAATTGTTTTCTAGGATGGGTTGGAAAAGGCGTGGAGTCGTGTCCCAGCTGTGGTCACATGAAAACATAAGCAGGCTTCTGCAAAACTGACCTTGTGGCTGCCCTTGTGCTCCTTCCGTTCTCCTGTTTTCTGTGGAGTAACAGGAAAATCCCTAGCAAGCTTTAAGTACCCGGTTATAAGGGACATGAGCTGTTGCCCATGCCTTGGGCAAATCCCTGCGCTTCTGCTTAGTTCCTATAAATGGGGCCAGTACTGTTCTTTGGGTGGATTCTTCACCTAAAGCTTGTAAATATGGACAGACTACAACCTTCCCTAGTGTGAGTGACAAAGGATTACCATATTTCTGGTTTATAGGAATTGGAACTTGTTCTAGAAGCTGGGAGAACTCTTGGTTGAGCATCACAGCTGGTATGCAGCCACAACGGTGTTTCTGTCCTAAAGAGCCCCCACTGCAGCTTGCTGGGAGGTGTTACCTGTACACTGGCAGGTCCTGTTTTGTCCCTGAACTGAAATTCACCTCCTGTTCCTCTGTGTTACTGAGGGGGTTGCTCTGTTTCATCCTGCTCGATACTGGGCTTTGGTTTGGTTGGGTTGGGGTTTTTTTCCCCCCATTCGTGATGTCATCTGTTTTCATTTCTGATTTGAGAGAAGGAACATTTCTGTCTGTGCTTTGAACCTGCATCTCCGGCCTGAAGCTTTAGGGAGAAGCCTGGGGTGAGGCTGGAGGCATCCTCTTCGGGGAAGATGACTCTGTGGGAGTAGCCTGCACCTGTGCATCAGGCTTGAATTTTACATGGGTCTCTAGCAGCAGCAGTGCCAACCAGGAACCCCGTTTTGAAGGAAAAGGGCCATCACAAATAATTTCCTGGCAATACAGAAGTTCTCTCAGCAGGTACGTTGTGAGCCACAGGTCTAACTGGACTCCAGCACCTCCCCTGACCTTGGGACAGTAGAAAACACTGGAATCGTTACAGGAGGAAGGGATCAGCTGTGGGCAGGCAAGCAGCTCTGAGTATTTCAGCCTACCCAGATCTGAGGGAATCGATCTCTAAATCTCATCCAGGACTTGTGCCAATGGGGAATTTACTTCCTTATTGAAGTAAGCCAAGCCAGTGGGAACCTTGCCTGCTGTCACCGCGTGCTTTCTTTGGGAATGCTCTGCCTTGCCTCACCCAAGAGTTGGAGGGTTGAGGCTGGTGTGAAGGTGCAGCTGACAGCAGAGGCTGGTGCCTCACCTGCCAGCCCTGAAGAGCGATGCCCATGAAGGAGGGATCTCTGCACCCCAGTGCTCGATACAAAACACGACGGTGATGGCAGCTGTCATCGCTGCTGTGCCAAGGGTGATCCTGGGCAGGGTGCAAGGGAGCTCATCAGCCCCTTCTCCCAGCTCCCAGGGCTGCGGCACGGAGGTGGACCTCTCCCTGGAGCTGAGCGCGTGGGGCAGGTCCTTCCTTCCTGCCTGCCCAGCCCTGCGTTTCTCAAGAGAGCAGGGAAGATGAGGAAGATGTGACACAAGGGTTTGCCGGAATTAATTGCTGAGGAGATCTGACATGGCACGTCCAAGAGCCTCCTTCCCAAACCCCAGGCTTTTCAAGTCCTCTGGGCATCATGTGTACTTGCATCTTTCATCAGCCATAATTATCCTACCATCCATCTGGGAAAGGAGACACCTTTTTCCCCCTGGTATAAACAGGCCTTACTCTGTTATAGGAAAGGCTGTTGGGGTGGCTCTGGTGTTTGGGACGTCCCAGTTTGCCCCAGTTCTGTTTCTTGCCAGCCAGCCAAGCTGGGATTTCTCTGCATCCGGCCGAGCACGTTTCTGTGTCTGCCAATGAAAAACTCGTTACAACGATCCCACCCGTCTCTGCCAACCCCCGAGATGTTACTGTTTGGCCTTGTCGTCCGAAAGAGGAGGGTGGTAGAGCTGAGGGATGCACGCGGGCAGAGCGCTCTGCTTTTACATGGGGGCGGTTTGGGCCGCAGTAACTTCTCAACCTCTGCCCGGGAGACCGCTACCGCAGCCTCTGAACACGCGGCTCTCGGCAGGTGCCAACCAAGCGCGATCCGCTAAGGGAAGGTTTGCGCGTCTGCGCGCAGCATCGCTCCGTTATCCCAAGGTTGCTCCTGCCTTCTGTGGTACGTTGCTGCCCTGCGCCAGCTGGATGGGGAACGCCTGACCTCCGGCGTGCTGCAGCCCGCACGCCACCGACGCCCGGAGCAACAAACGGCAGCGACGGGCGCGTCACAAGTTATGCATCAATCAAGGTTTCACTTTTATTGACTGGATTTTCCATTTCTGTCGCACACCGTCAATGTCCATACAATGACAAAGCCAAACATTGCTGGAAGCAATAAGATCAGCTGATTATTTCTGTACCCTCTTAACACACACACACACACACGCCCGTGGCTTCGTTCTCGGTGAGAAATTTTTATATTTCGGTTCATTAATTCTGCGTATTTATACTGCTACTCTTAAAATTCTGTGTCGAGATTGTCACATCTTAAATACAGATTAAGTTGCTAGAGGTACATTATTTTTTATATATATATTTATATACACACATACAGAAAAATACAAGACTGCTTATTTTCCCACAATATTTAATTTATACGCTACTGTAACTATATGCAACTTTCATAGACACGTTAAGGGGTACAGGAAACCGTTTACTTGCTCTAAATAGTTTGGTCCGATATTATCGCAATGTAGTGGTTATTCTCGCCCTTCCTTTTACGCGACAACGTAATACAACACGCGCCACATGCACAGCCATTCACCTATCAACGAACGGATCAAGGACACCACTCAGACTAACATCTGTACGCCCGGAGGTTCAACCAACCACGCACGACTCTAAGGCTATAGTACAACTATGCAGCAGAAATGGTCGACACTGCCGTTTCTAAAGTGAGCACCATATATACAGTCGTATATAAAAACAGTGGAAACAAAGTACACCCGGGGTTAGTTAAAAGGTGCCATTCCAAGGCTGTACATATTGTCAGGAAGGAGTATTTACAATACTTGGAGGGAAAAAAAAAAAAAGCTGCAACAAATAAGTTTATTGCCAATGCCCTTTATAAACTTGTCTCCTACGTGGATGTTACGCTCACCGTCCGTGAACCACACATCTCATTTCTGGCCCCTTGGTTAAGATCCCTGCTCAAAAACATCAAGCAAATATGTTCTATGGCTTCACCCACACGTCTGCTCTTGCAGCTTTCGACTTACAAGCGGCCAGAGTTTAAAACTTCAAGAAGTAAAGCGCTTATCCCGTGCCTCGTTCAGGAAGCAGGACGCAGAATCCCTGGCTAGGCTAGCCAGTAACGATCCCCCCCCCGCGCTCTGGGCTCTCTTGGTAAAGGCTTCCACCCGCCCAGAAGAGCCGTTGTTACGAGCGAGCGTAACGCCGTTCTTTGGTGCTCTGCTCGCCCCGCGACGCGAGCGCGACAGGATGCTCGGCAGCGTCCGCTCCTCTCGGACGCCCCGCGTCTGCCCCGGGCGCTGCTACATCGTACCGCCGGTTTCGCTAGCATTGCTTAGAAGACCCAGTGCACAGCGTGAAAAAATAAACCATTCTTGCCCTTCCCAAAACTAGGAATCTGCAATATATTTTATTCTAGATAATAAAATTCCACAAAGTTAATTCATCTGGTCAAAAGTAGCCTTTTGTACAGAAATACTCTAAGTCAAGACCTTGCCGTGGCAGTGGGAAACCCGACGGAACGGCCAAGAGCTGTTAAATAAATACTTTCCTACGTGCTACTTTAAACTGACTTCATGAAAAAGTATGATTACTGAGGGAGAAGAAGTGGTGCACATGTGGGGAACAGCAGTATTTTAAGCCTTAAAGAGAGTAATAACGAGAAAAAAATGTAAATGACAACAACAATTTCAATTTGGAGCCAATTACCTACAAGGTTTTCCATCCCTTATTGCCTTTTGAAATCTCGGGGAGGGGAGGAGAAGGGGGAGCGTTTACAAGGCAAAAAAACCTAAAATACTAAGTGTCATGACACACTAATAACAAAAGTAATTCATACAAATACTTTCTTTTCAGTTAGCATGTAAAAACTCAGAAGTAGATGTAACGACCTACCTCTGTGAGAGTAAAAAAGAAGATTGTCTGCTTGTAATATTAACATATTTATATGGGAGAAAGCTGCCTTACAAACCTACTTGCCTTTTTTCTTTTTTTTTTCTTTTTTTTTAAAGGAAAACTGCCTGTAGCGAAACAAGATCTTTTCAGTTTGATTTTTGAGCCACAACTTTATCCGCATCGTAGCTTAAGACAAATAGGTGCGGGTTTAAAATCGTGTTTCAAGATCCCTAATTTTCAGTGCATCTTTGCTTTGTACAAGCCTTGGAACATCTGAAAGCTCCCTCAAGAGTTTTCAGCATCGAAACATTATTGCTTTGGTTCTGTTTCAGACACATAGAAGTATGCCACATACCACGTAGTTTAGTGTATCACAGAAGGTCAGAACAAGAATTAACATTTCACAAGCAAACAAAAGCTTCTCTCTCTAGTTTAAGTGCAGAACGTGAAACTCCTAAGTGCTCCATTTACATTAGGATCCAGGTATTTTTTTAACTTAATCCAGATCTTCCATAGTAAAATTATAAATGTAAAAATTACACCATAAAATATCCTGGTTTTGTCGAAAAATAAAAACGTATCGGCTAGCAGCATGCAGAGACCATGCATTGTCATACCATCGAGCAAGGACAAAGTAAAGTGTAATAAATAACCGCTCAAAGCCCACTTAAAAATCTTAAGACAACAAAAGGGGGTCCGCGACAAGGTGTCCACAGCTCTGACCAGGGTGGCGCCGTCCAGCAGATAGAGCTGTTGCGGTCAGGCCGCCGTCAAATGACGTGACAACAGCTGGCTGGACTGGAGGTGCACAGCAGCCCCTCCTTCGGGTTCCGCTGGATATTCACAGATATCGTCTTTTCACAGAGAGGTAGTTGTAGCACGTTGTTTTTCAAGTTCGTGTTCTTTATCCACTCCAATTCGTTTGCCGCGTCTGACATTTGGTCAGAAAAAAACTTCAGGCCGCCCAGCGACGGCGCCTGGTGCGCGTTCCTGCCGGAGCTTATACACATCTTCCACGTTGATTTCTCCTGTACCTTCACGCTGGAAAGGGACAGGCCGTTTTGAGGCTCGAGAATGTACTTCGTGCTGCCGTGAATCTGTGAACCTAGGCACAGGCTCATTAGCTTCAGGCTTTCAACCAGTTCCCCCGCACTCCTAGTCGACAGCTGCATCGAGTTGCTGGATCCAGCGCACCTCCGCGTGGAACCCGACGTGGTGTTGGTGCTGCCGCTGGAGCCGCCGGAGGGACTCCCCCCGCCTTTGTTGTCGCCGCTTGGGCTCGTCTTGTCTACCCCTCCGTTCCCGTTACTGGGTTTGCTTTGCCCACCGCCGTCTCCCTGGCTGCCGGGAGGCCCTTCGCTACTATCCCGCCTATGCCAGGAGTAGGTAAACCCGCTATCCTTGTCCAGGCGTCTCCTGCTTTCCGAGTCGTCGTCACTTGTTTCTGAGCTACTGCAGCTGGAGCCCCGTCCTTGGCTTTTCCTCCTGTGGTAGCGTTTATGCACGGTGCTGGGTGAAGCGATGTTCATTTTTAACCGGCTGAGCTTTGGGGGTAAGTTCTCATCCATGTCAAACTCGTCGTCGGACTCGCCCTCCTCAAAGATCTGGTTGAGGACCGGTGCGCTCTTCCTCGAAGTGAGGCGGTTCGTAACCGAAGGCTTGCGGCGCAGAACGACTTGAGTAGAAAGAGAAATGGGTTTCTTGTCTTCCTCGTCCTCCTCTTCATCCTCTTCTACTCTGAACAAGCACTTCCGGCCACTTGTCGTGGGCTTCAGGCTGACGGACGGGACGGCTGAAAGCGCCGGCCCAGCTAATTCAGGGATATCTTCCTTCTTCGCCGAATCGCCAAGGGCCTTGCTCCTGTGGCCATTGAGAACGTTCTCAGCTGTGCGAGCTGGGGACTGCGGAACAGTCGCGTGGGAGAGGGGAGAAGCCGTGAGGTCATCCTCCAGGTCTTGGGGTACGTCGATTTTTGTTGGCCACGACTGCCTGCGTAAAGGATTACAAAGGACAAGAGAGGCGTTAGGTCATGGCGAGCGCTTCAGAATACGCAGAGCAGCGCGGGTACCGCTGCGCAGCGGGAGGGGCCCGTTCACCAAGAAGGGTGCTGAGGAGCTGAGGAAAACGAAACATTCTCGGGAAGGTGTGTTCCTTCGGAAGGGCTGCTCTCTGAAAGGAACATCGCATAGGCAGAAGCGCAGCTTAGAAATGCCGCTGGTTTCTGTCACATGAAGATGTCACTCCCAGAAAATCTGTTCAGCAACAAATCACTGTGTCTCAAGGAAAATACCTGACGCAGGTGGTCAAACCTCCAGTGCAACCTGGAGGAAGATAGGAGCCCATTCAAGCACAACTTAATTTAAGATACTATTGCTGAAGCTTCTGTCATTTCCCTCCCCTCCCCCCCCCAGGCATTCTTCACACGAGAATCAGTTTCGAATTAGCAGGGTGAGACTGAGCAGCTGAGTCAGAAGAAACAGTCTCTCTGTGTCAGTAAGTCTCCTTCAGACCATGCTGTCTCTGCCGCTCCTTCCTCCTCAGGGGAGGATCCTCACACTCTGTCCCTGCTCCAGCGTGGGGTCCCTCCCACAGGAGACAGTCCTCCATGGACTTCTCCAACGTGAGTCCTTCCCATGGGCTGCAGTGCTTCACAAACTGTTCCAGTGTCAGTCCCTCCTGTGGGCACCCTCCCCTTCAGGAGCAGCCTGCTCCAGCACGGCTTCCCTTGGGGTCATGGCCGCCTGCTTGGTTGTGGGGCCCTCCCCAGGCTGCAGGGGGGTCTCTGCTCCCCGTGACCCTCCATGGCTGCAGGGGCACAGCCTGCCCTCTCACCACGGGCTGCAGGGGAACCTCTGCTCCGGCCACCTCCCCCCCCGCCTTTCCGCACTGACCTGGGGGTCTGCCTGGTTGTCTGTCTCACATACTCTCACTCTCCTCCTCTCCAGTTACAGTTGCACAGGCTTTTTCCCCCTTAACTGTGTTACCCCAGAGGCGCTACTGCCGTCACCGATGGCTCAGCCTTGGCCAGCGGTGGGTCTGTCTGGTATCCAGCTGGCACTGGCTCTGTTGGACACAGGGGAGGCTTCCAGCAGCTTCTCACAGAAGCCACCCCTGTAGCCCCTCTCCCACCAAAACCTTGACACACAAAACCCAAGACGCTGTTTTTAAGAAAGCGGTACTTGAGCAATTCAATAATATTAAGACAAGTTAAAAAAAAAGAAACCATTTAGATTCCTGAATTCTCACCTGAACTGAGCCTTGATGTTGCTAGGGCTTGCAGATCTCGTCTGGATTTCCTTCTCTTGCTTTTCTCGCAGAATCCTTTCAGCTAGCAAGAAGTAAGTAGCGGTGATGTGATTGTATTTGTTAGTTTCCAACGCCCTAAGGAAAGCACAAGACATGAAATAAAGCACACATGGATGGTTCCTCGAAAACCGGCCACGCAACTCCTGCACCGTCCTGTGCTGCTCGCAGCAGGGAGGGCGCCTGTAAGCAGAACTGCCCAGTTTTGATGTTCTGACATCATGTCTTGGGCCTCTTAAAAATGATGAGCCAAGAAGACTGGTTATTTCAGCTAGAGCTGGATATCTGTAGATTATCATCCACAAAAATAAAGTTTTCCTTTATCAAACATTCTTGAAATGATAAGATTTCATGAGCGTTATGCACCAAAGGTGGGCTGTTCCTCTGGCACATACAGCCACAAAGTACTGGTACTTCTTTACGCAGCAGCTGGAGGAAGCGCCTTCATTACTTTAGGGCTGTCGCATCCAGTTCACAGGGAAATTAAGTTCATAAGCCAGTAGGCGTCATTCAGACGGTCTAACGGGAAGGATGCCACTCTTCGGCAGCTGAAAGCTGAAGAAGCAAGGCTGCTGCTTCCCCGCCCCCCACAAGGGAAGACAGTAACGTGTTCCAGCTTAAACAGAATTAGAAAACACAATTAAGTCCTCTTTTGGTTTTGGGAGTATTAGACAAACTTGGGGGTTTTAATCTATTAGAAAAAAACCCACATAGCTTTCTAGCCACTCA